CTCTACAGAAAGTAACAGTGCTTATTTCATCTGTAAGGTATTCGGTTTAACATTTTACGGATTCATCTGTTGGGATGGGGGACGTTTTAGTTATAACGTTGACTTCGAAAAGCTTGTCACTCAAGAGAGCGGATGTGTGAAATGCTGTTTTGTCAAACCTTTCCCTACTGATCATCAATTCGATGCTCACACCAATGTACCACTTATTCACTATCTAGTCTGCTCATTTCCCTTGGATCCAAGTCGCGGGCAGAATTTTTCTTCAAAAGCTATGGTCCCAAGCCTGTATAGCCTCACTAAACATGTAACTCTGCATGAATGTTCAGATACCTGAAGGCTAGATGTGTTCGCAGATTCTTAGTAACCATCCGAACAAAAGCACGTTCTGAACAGAGGCGTCGGTTGGGAGTAAATTCTTCATCATTCCCCGTGAATAAACATCCGGTTTTTCTACAACAAGAACATCACTAATGTTGAACCGCAGTTGGATACCTCAATTATGGTTGTCAAATCGATTGCTCAGTTTACGGTGCGACATGCTGCTCAGAAGCGCGAATCGATAAACCTAATGCGTGCATATCACTGGTAACCTAACAACCGAAGAGAATTCAAGGTAAAACTTTTCTCATTTGAGCTAAATATTCGCCATATATCAGTATCGTTGCGGCTAAATTTCACACCTAATTCGGTTTGGTAGGCTTGTAACGGTGTGTTCGGATTAAATGTGTCTCACCGACTGATCGGCAGCTGTCGCTCAAAGAGCATTAGTTCAAAAACTGATCAAAAGTCGGGTTGGGAATGTGCAGAGTCTGGAAAATACTTTTGATGTTAAGGTGATGAAATAACGGAAATAACTTCTTGCGAAATATTCATCGGTGAGTTTCGAGTGGGAGACGAGCGCATTCGATGAAGCCATCATACATTTCACGAAATTCCACGTTTCATAGGCCAGTCTTGAATTCGAAATAGGTTTCAGAAGCAGCTGTTTAAAGTTTTTGAATCACTTTCAGTCCTCCGGCTTCTGGGGTTCTCGCAAATTATCAGGCCAAGTGAATTGGGTTACAAACAAAGTGAAAAATTCAAACTTCCCTCAAAACTCTTTTTCTAGATCAGATTTTGTTGCACTATTGCCACGCTAGTTATTTTCCTTACAGTATCGACAGCACAGTAGAAAGTAATGGATCACAGGAGACCTGGGAACTCCGAGAAACGAGTAACTTTGCCTTTTAGATTAACCACGTTAGTAGCTCCCCAAAATAGCCATCCGGGTCACATTTTGGCGAAACAGGTTGCAACACTTTACACATGACTTTTTCGTGCCCTTCAGGCAACATGTTCAACCTTATAGGTGAAGTGATTGACTGAAACGCACAATTTGCTAAGTCTTCCTGATAGCAACTTAACACGGCATTCTGAGTGGCATAACAATCAGCAACCAGGTTTTAGGTGAACAGCAGTGGTGAGAGAAGCAAAAGTGCCCACGATGAGCAGGATTCTGGTGACGGCATGACTTCTGTGCCATAATAGTGGTATTTTGGGTGCGTTCACTCGTTGCTACTTAGGCGGTTGTCACTCTGTTCATTTGGCTAGGTAGTTGGCTCGTTTGATGCTGGATATATACATATATGTGTGTGCATGTATATATTCAATGTTGGACTCACATGTCGTATAACTAAATTTATAGAGAAATGTACAACTCGATCCTCTGACTGCGTAAAGCGTGAGCGCAGATCCTGTGGATCTGCAACTCATAGTTTGATCATTCTGTGCGCGGTAAATCTCTTTCGCATTTATGCTGTCACCATCAAAGCAAGAGATGTAGGTTTCCGGACACGATCCTGACGACTGAAAAGAATGCGGGATACAGACAAGATAAATTGAAACCAATACACAGCATTCTTTTGCAAATTTGTACTTATAGTAAGAACGGGAATCGTATTGCTATTGAGGTTATCCCATTAAGGAAACACCTTTAAGGAAAATACACAAGATTTTTTGTGAACGTGCTTTCCAGGTGATCACACCAACACTTATAGAGACTGATTATTTTACTGTTTTAATGCATTCAGATAGACCACAAATTCTACATAAATATAGAGAAATTAATAGAAATGAAGCAGTTGGTCATAGGTTTTTAAACCGTCACGGTGAATAAGTTATCTGGAGTTAAAATGTATCAAATTAAGAGTATAATCAATAATTCGGAACGGGCCGTATGCAATGTTTAGGCAGTGCACCGTGTGGACTGTGCTGTCAGGCAAATGTTGTTTAGAAGGGGCAGTGGAAATATGTAATGACTTTAATTGTATGAAGTTACTAGACATTGATATAATCTGTTTGTTAGTAGTTGCAGGTTTCAATATCTAACCGTATCGTCTGAACTTCGTCAAGGAAGTCTCTAATTCAATGTGAAAAATCACGTTTATTCGGTCATTTGTTGCCAGGTTTCAAATTCGGCTGTTACAGGCCACATTCGAAAAATCTTAGGAACTGATAAATCTGAAACTTGAAGACAGAAACAGACCTATTCTTATCCTTTGACACTGAGTGGTGTCTGTGCACTCGTACAACAATTTCCGTCAAGTTTCATCTTCACTGACTCAGTAGAGTGAAATCAAGGGAGACGTATGCAAACGATCCTCATTTCAAAACATTCTCGGTGGCCCTCGCTACTGACAATCCATAAGTAGTGGAGAGGATGAATAATTTCGCAATACTGATGAAACCTCCGTTCTAAAAGTCACCTCACGAGAAGCCGGGCAATCACAAATGACCACTTCAAATGGATTACATGACTGACGGAGTAGTGGCGCTCTAACCCAAGTGCAAGCTAATGACACGGCTGATTGGGCGCTCTTGGGTGAATGCCTAAATGTTCAGTCTAACAGCCGTGATGTCGCGGATTCGAAATGCCCTGCATATTCTTGAGATGCGAATTACTGATGATTACTAATGGGATAAAACAACTGCATAATGCAGGACCAAATCCTTATTGTGAACCATCTTATATTCAGATTTGTTTGTTTCTAATCACCTGCGCTTTCAAAGTGAGCACCAAGAAACATGCTTTCTGCGAAGAACACTGCCAAATTGGAAACACCGTTCAAGGGAATGACACATGTTGTACGAGAAGTTATCCTGTGGGTTGCCTTCTTAGAGGAAGAAATACATGACCTCCAAACTTAAATTTTTTGCTCGTTGCAATAGCTGCTTTGATGTGCTGGTGAATGTGCGCCTGGCTCTCATGAGACCGACTGTTTGCATTTACGAGTTGTCCCAGTAGGCTTCAGCTGATTTCTTTTCCGCGTGACTATTTTAACAGGGCTTCCGAAAAGCTGTTTAGCCATGTTACTTTATGTGTGGTGCACATGAATTTCAACCGTTTTCATCTCCATCTCTAGCAAAACAATAGTCTTTATAACTTTTAGTCCTCCACACCTACCCTGATCTCCTTAAATATTTATGCCACATGTCCACGAATCAATTTAGGTGAACCGCACACACATCGGGTAACCGGAGTGTGCCCCTAACACGGTTAAACCTGGAGCTTTCTAAAGGCGACATCCACAGATCTGTTGGATTGTATGTGAGCTGGGTGGGCTTGCTTATGTGAAAAATTGGTTCATCTACCAGTTGCATAAAAGTACGTTTGTACTCTGGTGTGCGCAAAGCTGATCTGACGAATGAAGCTAACTTTACTCTTCTAGCTAAGTTCGCAAGATTTCTACTTCCTAAATTAGACCTTGACGAGCACCATTGTCAAATGCAAGCTGCTCCGAAGCTTGAAGTAACATACCATAGGCAGCGATGAATAGGTCGGTCGACCATTTGACAACAGCTCAATCTCCGGGGTATCTGTATGTTTCGGCAACTTTACCAAATGTACTATCCGTAGTTTCTGGGATTCCACTATTTGATAGTATGACTACAGTTCATACGCATCAAGACAAGCCAATGTGCCAGTCACTGCGATTTCATCTGATTTGTAATAAACAAAGAATGAACACCGGCGACATTATTTTCAAGGCGGTTCACCAGGGATATAGCACATTTAAAGTAGTAAAGATTGGTAATTACGCTTGTTTCAGTGGAAGAACATTCCAAAGCAAAGTTTCGTCAGATGGCACCTGCTCTCCTCGTGATACTTCACGTAGTATTTCCGACAATAAGATGTCATCCTATAGATAAATAAGCATTCTATCACCGCAACAACTCAGGCTTCGTATTGGTCACCCTTAACTTGGTATTTTGCGGCCGACAAATAAAAAACGAACAAAAGCAGCGGATACACGTTGCTACACAGATGCTGTTTATGATATTCTAAAGTGGCTGCCAAGCATGGGAGTGTAGCACAGATTCACAGATCATGGTAACAGTGATCCAAATGGACATTACCAGCAACGAGACACTCTTCAGGGCAGTAACTTGTGAGATAAGAAACTCTCCATTTTCGTTTATTTTTCTGGTAAACCAAGGGAGAAATTGATGAGCAAATGTGTGTATGCAATGCTTGGATTAAACGTGACAGCACAGGCATTTTTATCAACCATAAAGTTTTTTTAATCTATTTACTGGTTTTGTAAGTCCTTTCCTCTGAGAACACTGAAGCGAAAAACCCAAAACGGTATTTTTTGCGAAGTCAATCGTGCTTGATTGCTGACACCTGTTTACTTCTTGTGGTGGTGTGCGAATGATGGGTTACAATCCAAATGTGTCCGAAAAAACAAAACAAATTTTGAGCTGTCCGAGAAGAAAGTGCTTTTTAAAATGCCCAGTATGGGAGGAGTGTTTGGTAGAGAGGACGAAACTTTTTGAAAGTCCGGAAGCTTCCAGTGTTCAACGTCTTAGAAAAGGAGGTATTTTCAAGAAGTATCAGAGAACGGTATCCAATAGATACACTTGCATTTCCGTTAGCTTTGTGCAGATTCATATATTGAATTAGCTAACAAAATAAATCATAGCCAACCATAAAATACGAGAAATGGACAAACGCCCACCCCCACCACAAGCGTTACTAAGACTGAGAAATTAGTTTTGGTAGATTTGGTAGCCAGGTAACACTCAGTCAACCATATATCCCTGCTTGGTTTTCACAAGGGTCCCGGGTCTTCAAAGCGGTTAACGCGCGCTGCGCTGCAGGGAATAATAGTTGAAAAATTCTGAGCGTTTGGTGTTGTTCTTGTTAAAGTGCTGGTACAGTTTCTTTTCATGTCTTCATTTTTTCAGTAATCTTTCGTAGAAGGTCGATTCCATTTGGCTTCTGAGAATGAGCATTTTATTAGATAGAACCCAGCATGAGATAACTCAGAGTTAAGGGGCGAATCAAGTGTCTGGAAGGCCCATGGTTCGGACCCAACTTCCCGCACTACGGTTGCTCTTGTCTAGGCTTGAGTAACCTGGCAGTGCTTCAACCCTCGCGCTTACTTTGGTTGGCGTAGCAGCTAGGAATCAAAAGAACGCTACGGCTGAACGAGTGATCAACTGTTTGGTTGACCGATGGATAAGGGAGACTTCACTTGGTGCGTCCAAAATCTTGCTGCGTTCAAATGGTGACTCAAATTTCATAGGTACGGTCAGGGTTGATCATGTTCTTGGATGGTTCGCCCCATCTTAATTCATCTAGTGGAAGTCCATAAAGTCCGTTGTATTCCGGTTCCATACTATGGTAACGATGTTATCGGAGCTCAAAAATTCTACTACACATACGGATTTTCCGACGTTTGGCTTAAAGATATGATCTTGTTATATAACCACTTGTTCCCGGTTACGTACATCCCACTTGAGTACTTTACCGCTGCCATCCTTTTGACTGTAGTCAATGGAGTCTTTCCATGAAACTTGGTCTGCTTCTTGCTCTCTCATTAATGAAGCCCACTGATTTAGATAACGAATATCCAATTTACTCGTGCTACCTAGTCAGAGTTTCTCTCACAACAAAAGGACGAATTCCAAGCAACGGTCGGTTGGAATGAAATTCAACTTCCTGTTCGATTTGTTAGTACTGAGTGCATAGAAGCAAAAATAGATAATACATCAGAATACGTAGAAGATAAACATACCGTCCGCACCCAACCATCCAAATGGATATATTTGTTCTGATCATCCACAAGAATCCGCATCAAACAGGGATACCTTGAGAATGGAACATTGCGGATTTTGCCTTGTAAACTATTGAACGTTCTGTTACAATCAAAGAAAGCAACTGTTGCACGTGGAAGTAATCAATATTGCTATACCTGAGAACCTCATCTGAATGTGAAGAAATAGTAATATCCAGTGCAAGGAGTTTATGATCGGCATAGTTGCTCACAAGACAACTATGACTTTACCGCATGAATTCAGATGTACAAAATGTTTGAAGCTGCATAAGTAGGACAGCGACCAACGTTTGTATGTATGGGAAGTGTTGTGTACAAGTGTTGAGTACCCGGAGAGTATTTTCTTCAATGTCCACACTCTCGTTGATTGGACGATTTTTTTCCAGCTTCACTTACCACTACTTCTTTATGCCGGTAACGCGATAAGCTGCAAACTGGCGGTAACGTATTCTTGAATTGATTATTGGTCCATCGCCATCGGTTGGCTCAGCATTCCACACGATGTGTGCGGCACATACCACTCACAGCTATTTTAGTCTATCGGGTAGGCAAAACTCAAGGTCGACAGCTTGGGCATCAGAATTTGCTCATCAGTGTACGATGCATTGGGGATACCATGCATCACCAAAGTGATGGCCACATCAGCCCAGAATTCCCACCTGTCAGATCCACTAAACAGTTAAACTGGGATGACAGTTTTCTCATGAAACACCGTGAAATGGTTGCATTACTAGTGAACCCGGAATTTCATCTAAAGTTAACTAAATTCAAGCAAAATCTGTCACTTGGAATGGCTTTGGAGTTTTCAGGTAGTGTGGTTACTAAAGGGCTAATTACACCAAAATAATTTCTTCCTACCTAACCTTAAAAACTACCAATTTTCTTACGCGGGCAGTGGTTACTTTCTAAAATTCGTCGGTCAGCTACCCCGATTGAAACAAGCCCGATTGCCATGTGTATGACCATTAAACAGACAATCTGACTGGAAAAAAAGTTGTTTATGGACTAAATAAACAAATCCAATTAACAAAAACTACAAATTTACTCATATTTTCTCACTAGTAAAGCAAACTTCAAAGGAAAAATGCTCAAGTGTTGGTAAAGCCGCACCTTACTACACCACTTGAGTATCCACAAGACCTGGGGTTTGGAGACACAAGCTAAACGCCCAACAGCTCTCATTTTTAAGTTCGACAGTCGTTGAAGCTCTGATGCTTGCGAAACTAAAATTTACTAGAAAAACAGGATGCATGATAAATTAGTCTGGACAGTTTTAATTGGGGTTTATTTGTGAGAATGCCAATAGTATTTGGAAGCATTTTCTGACTAGGTAAAAGGAATGTAATCTCCATAGAAAGAGCGCCTGCTGACTACAGACATTCATTGCATAAATTGAGCTTATACTTGAATATTTTGGGGTAACATCATCTGGCTGGAAAATTCGATGGAAACACAGCAATTTTACAGTGGTGAAAAATCTTCCGATTCAGTTGAATGAACTCACATGTATTGAGTATGAAGCAAATATGAGATTACAATCTGAGTATAGTTTCCTAATTCCATCCGCCATTAAAAAGCTAAAGTTAATATTAATATTAATAATATTAATAGTATCTTGGGGATCCTGAAATATTTTTTCAACTTCTGTTTATCTCATGAATTTTTCATGCATTAATTTTTTTCTTCGGCACCTTGATGGTGAAATCTCGCTCTTTAACCAACACACAAATATTTTGTGTGAATTAAAAAAATAGATTGACAGTGATATGAAAAAAACTAGTATTTGTAGGTTGCACTTGAAAAGCATCCATGGATCCCGGGATTTTGGCCAAAAAACAATTTTTGATGGATTTGACAAAATGTCCCCTAGCCAGGTAATCCTCCATTTGACGACAGGGAAAGATGCATGGTGCAATTTTTAGCCTCGCCAGTTATATTTTGTACCTAATGAAGACTTGATGCTTTGTAGTAGTCCATTTTAACGACTATCTCAAAAATGGCCTATGCTGTATCCCGTTGAGATTACTAGATGCGTGTAGATCAGTTGACAGGGGTGTGGGTTTAAGCGTCCTGTTGCTGGAGGCCACATCGGTTGTCAAAATACTGCACGCCCAATCTTGTTATCAAATAACGAAAATTTTAATGCAAACGCAAAAACTAATCCAGCCTCGAAGGCAATGCTTGAATCGCAGAGTACTAGCAAACAAGATTCCGTTCAGCGGTCAGTAGACTTTCGAAAATTTTTTATAATTGCTGAACTTTTCGTCCCTCTGTGAATGCTTGACATCCTTAACAATAGGTTAAATAAACGACATTGATTCTTGATTCTGAAAAGAGTTATCGGATTCTAAACGACTGCAGTCCACCAGGGAGGGATTTGGAAAGAAAACCATGTCACATCGAGGCATCTTAATTCACAATCAAGCCTTACGTAAACGCCCAGGCTTTAAGTGTTGCATGAACACGTTCTACGCCAAGAATACACATGAAAGTACAAACGGTAAAATCCGAGTAAATATAGAACTACTATCACTGGGTACATGCAAAGCGACTAAAAGGCATCGGAGAAGAAAAATGAAGAAACTCATTTGTGGCTAATTTCAAAACCAATTTTGTAGGTTGTTTGTTTTGAGCACGGTTGATAACAGCCAAAGAACACAAGCGCAAAAGCCAGTGGCCTCCATATCAGTGGTCGATTGACAACGGTGGTGTTTCCAACTGAAAATAGATGTTAATTATATATCCCATCGACAATTAACACACCACACGAAGAAGACTTAGGCGGTTGAATGCAAGCCATCCATTTAGTTCTTCTTTTCTTATCGCAACGGTCATCATAACTCTTTAATTGAATTGAATTGAATTTCGATTTTCTTTAGCTGCTAGAAGCATGTAAATTGTATCAGCTTGTGCATATCGTCCTTCTAATGTGCAGGAAAAGACGAAACAGTTGCAGCAGAAACGTAGGTTGGCGCCTAGAATCAATTTTTACCTGAGCAACCAGTGGAACAGTGGAAAATGAATGCTGATACTGAGAAGAATTTGCAACAGGCTTGACAGGATAGATTTCGAACAATATGACTTGAACATTTTTGCGAGTATGAATTGACCATGTAATGGCACAACTTCATAAACTGCACACCCATTTTGTCAGTTTTCATGGTTTCGCTGAACTTTGTTATTTTGTTTTTAGGGAAACTTTGTGATGCAAAATTCTGTTCTGCATGAAGACACCACTGTAGTGCGTTGGTTTATGGTGAAGTTCTGGATTTTTTTGCAAAAACTAATCAAACCAATCAGAATTATTGTGACCATTTCTCTTTTATCCCAACAGAGGCATTCCTCTATGTTTTTATTCGTTTGTTTTTCTCTCTAAGGTCCCTTTATTTGGCTGCTAATGTTTAATCACCGACAGATAACATATAGGATATCGCGAAGAATAGATAGACAAAAAGATGCTTAAATCCAGAAATATAAAAAAAGAACAACGTAGTATGTAATTTTTAAACTCAAAACACAGCTGTGTGGAATAAGTTGTAATCCGACGTTTCTTCAATTATTTCCACAATCATTTGATGAAAGCACCTCTCTGGCAAACGTGATGGTAGCGAAGCATCACCGTGGAACACTGGTGTTGTTGCTGGTGATAATTAGGCGAGCGATATTGTTTGTTCAGCTGTTTACATGTATATGTTTATATATAACGTCATACAACTTCCCCGGTGATACCTGAAGGCGTACGGGAACACTCAAAAATGATTCTCCTGTCTTTGATTGTGAGCTACATTGAGAGCAATCAGCATTTTGTCTCAGCACGAGATGAATCTCTGTACTCCATAGAATGAAAGTTCAAACATACCAAGCACTTCACTCCATAGACCAGAACAAATGTACAAATTTAAATAACCTACAACATTCTAATTATCACCACCCTTGGTAGCGTAATAAGTGGACTTAAAACACAATTTTACTGAGGTGTCCAACTACAGAAATGCTAAACTACACGGCTGGACGACTTTACTTTAAATGCAAGCGTATTTTTCATATAGGTAAACACCTGTTGTTCGACCGTACACTACATAATCCTAGAAGCGGCATCCACGCAGGCTTTCATTCCTATCGCCTTTGTTTCATCGAGGCATTCCAGCATCACGTGGCATTCCATTCAAAGCAGTTATATCACGAAGTATTGATCACTGTGGGGAAGAACAGCTGAATCTGTCTGATGCGGCTTGTCTACGCAGCGCGTATTTTTCAGCTGAATATAACGACTTACCGACAGTCGTATCGTTTCGTAGCAAGTTTGATCGGAGAAAAACCTCTGTAGTCAACGTGTATAACCAAACAGTTAGTAAAACACTAACATGACTCGAGAGTTTCTATCAGAGGATCAACGCGACTGGACCAGACGCTTTGAAACATTTTTCAACTACTTGTATTGCTCGACATTCGAATACTGATAATTTCTATAATCTATCCATGAAGCATTCAGCATGACATATAGACTCAAAAACGCAGCGCTCGTAGGTTTCATTCGATCGAGGAGTGTGAATGAAAGGAAGAGGTGATATAATGCACAAGTTTTTATGTTTATCGAACATGTATGAGTGATTTTTTTATAAAGAGAGTTTGTGTTCAACGGAGATGCAAACTAGTGGTAACAACAGTTTTGGAATCTTTCAAGTTTCTCAACTCAGCAGAAATTTACAAAGTGTAATTGGCAACACGCCTCTGACGCTCAGCCATGTGTAAAGCAACCTGAGTACGGTTCAACTTGTCCATTCCACAAACCAATCTGACTGAAGGTGAACTAACCGAAGTTTTCAAATAAAGTAGGACAAAAATAATGCAGTGACTCTTGGTGTTGAACAAAGGCCTACGCCATACGTGAGTCACATACAGGTCAAAACGATTAACCCAAGCACCACACAGTTTGGTCTCAATTATAGGAGTAACCAAATGTCAGTCCTTGCGCTTGCATAATCACGGCCCACCAAAAGTCAATGCTAAGGCCGATGCAAGGGAATTCACCCCAAACCCACGACACTAATTCATTCGAAGTGTTACTTATATGCAATTTT